TCCTAGGTGGGTCATAAGGAAAGGGTTAAATGAGTGTGAAGTGATTGGCCAGTGGGAACCCAAGGGGAGGAGTTAGAGTTAGAGTTGGAGTTGTGTGGAAGTCAGTTGGGAGTTGGAGAAGGAAGAGGGAGGATAAGTCTGTGGGCTGGTCTAGTTTTGATATGAGAGAGTGAGAGGAACTGTTAGGAGGAGCCCGATAGACAATTGGGATAATCAGAAGTTTTTAGGAAGGTATAGGCCAGTAAAGAAACTAAGATTAAGAAACTGACAAGAAAAATTAGCTGAAACCATAAACTTGTTAATGCTTATAAAATAAACTTGCTTATTTGATTTGTTAACAACTGTCTGGACTCCGTGTGTACCCAAGAGAAACGGGTTGGTGGAAGCGGGGAAGCGAGCACAGTGGTGGCACAGGGATCAATAGACCGTCAAACGTCCGGGGACCCTGTGTGATCGCCACACTTCCCCTCTAGCAACAACACCTGCTTCTACAGCATCCATCCATGGACAATTGTCTCTACACTCTTTGTTCTTGCACCCTTAATGAACGCCCTGTTTTGGGAGAAAGGGGGTCGGTTATACTGTCCATAGACGTGTCAGCTAGCTGCTCTGTCTCCCCTCCCCCTTCTCCTAACACTGCATAACTCTATGTTCATCTATCTCTGAGCTGTTACCTTCCTCCAAGCCCTACTGTAAATCAAGACTGCCTTCCTCCTCTCTGGATGCTATCCCACCTGCCTTGCCCAACCCCCTGGCCCTGGGACTCCTCATAAGGAAGCTGGTCCTGAAGGAAGAACTGTGAGGGGAGAGACTCCATCAGGCAAGGCCTCCTTCCACCTCCCTTGCCCTACCCTCTGGTCTGATTAGAGTTTAGAAATTATTTATTGTAACTGTTGAGCGGATTTCTGTTCAACTTTTACATGTTGTTATTATTTAATACTATTCTAATGATTGTTGAATGTTACTTTTTTGATGTAGGTTGCCTATTTTAAAGTTTTATTATCACATTTTTGTATTGCATTAGATTGTTATAAGATGTACATTTTTGTTTCTTCAGCTTGTAAACCGCCTTGAGTATTGTAAGATAGAAAGACGGTATACAAATTAAAAAATGATGATGATGATGATGAAAAGAAGGGGGCAGACCCCCACCACTCCTCCTCCTCTTCAGTCCAGTCCCTGACATCTAGCCTCTTACCTCAGGTTGGCCTTCGTACAGAAAAACCCAGCATCTGTGTCTGACCACGTGGCTCAAAAGTGCAACTCCTTCCAAGTGCTCTATTGCCACCTCAGGTTCAGTTTTTTAAAATTTTTGCATTGAACCTAAGCATATTACACTGACCTGCGCACAGCCGAGAACCTGCAGAATGGTAAATGTTCAACATTGAAGAGCGTCGAAGACAATAGATCGCACAATGCCTGGGTTTATTTAAAGATATTGGCCATGAATTTGTACCTTTTTAAAAATTGTCCTCACCAGTAAGTAGTTGCATTATGTCAATTAGCTAAGCTTCTTACCTTGTTGCTTTGCTTTTCATAGTATATCTGAGGGAGGTTTGGGGTCCACCAACAAAAAGCTTTTAAATGTTTCTAATTGATTGTGTGTTGTTGTTTTTAAATCTCCCTGACACCTTTTATGCATGTAATCATGCTTCAAATGAGCCCGTTGAAACAAATGGGATGCTAATAGGCACTTTGGTGGTCAGAAATAAACCTTGACTATGACTGAAACAGAAACTCAGAACCATTAATGCAAAATACGCCCCATCAAGTTGCGAAACCACTCTTTCCCCTTTCACTCCTTGTTGAAAGGCAACTTGCAATTTCTGATCAATAAAGCATGGATGCCATACAGTTGCTCATGGTGTAGGAGATGAAGGGGAAATTGTGAAATGCAATTTGGACAACACATGTATGTGGAGTTGTTTAGAGTCATATGTGCTTTATTTCTGCGTTCCAAATCTTATTAATTTCAATTACATTCTGGTCAAAATAATAATCCCTTATACAACAACTGCAATATTAGTACCGTATTTTTCGCTCTATAAGACGCACCAGACCACAAGACGCACCTAATTTTTGGAAGAGGAAAACAAGAAAAAAAATATTCTGAATCTCAGAAGCCAGAACAGCAAGATGGATCGCTGCGCAGTGAAAGCAGCAATCCCTCTTGCTGTTCTGGCTTCTGGGATAGCTGCGCAGCCTGCATTCACTTCATAAGACGCACACACATTTCCCCTTACTTTTTAGGAGGGAAAAAGTGAGTCTTATAGAGCAAAAAATACGGTAACTTCCATTCGTGTTGACACATTAAATGATTTATAGAACTACAGTGGTACCTCGCAAGACGAATGCCTCGCAAGACAAAAAACGCGCAAGACGATAGAGTTTTCCGTTTTTTGAGTCGTTCCGCAAGACGAATTTCCCTATGGGCTTGCTTCGCAAGACGAAACGTCTTGCGAGTCCTTGCGAGTTTGTTTCCTTTTTCTTAAAGCCGCTAATAGCCGCTAAGCCGCTAATAGCCGCTAAGCCGCTAATAGCCGTGCTTCGCAAGACGAAAAAACCGCAAGACGAAGAGACTCGCGGAACGGATTAATTTCATCTTGCGAGGCACCACTGTACAAGTGAGGCACTCAAAACTATATCCTTGTTCTTCCTGTGTGTGGCAATTATTCTGTCCGTGGTGTTTCTTTCTGTCCTTGTAAAGTGTTATGTCTATACTTTCCCAGCTGTTGCTGCTCTCCATCATGCCTTGGGCGGAGCTGATATTCCACCGTTGTTTCAGAAATTTCTCTATTGCTCCTTCCCGTGCCTCGTTGTTTTGCAACTTTAACAAGAGCTGCAAAAATCGCTCTGTCCCAAAACATTCATGAGTAATTCAAGAGAGAGAGAGAAAACATTCATTTTTCTATTGAATTACTCATGGCATTTGTTCTGTTTTGAGTTGCTGTTGCTTTGTGCAATTTTTAAAGTCATTCGCTGTATGCATGTATATACACACACATAGAGTGGTACCTCGGATTACATATGCTTCAGGTTACAGACTCCGCTAACCCAGAAATAGTACCTCAGGTTAAGAACTTTGCTTCAGGATGAGAACAGAAATCGCGCGGCGGTGGCAGCGGGAGGCCACATTAGCTAAAGTGGTGCTTCAGGTTAAGCTCAGTTTCAGGTTAAGAACGGACCTCCGGAACGAATTAAGTACGTAACCAGAGGTACCACTGTACACACACACCAACCCAACTATAAAAAGCAGAGTGTCTTTTCTGTTTGGAAATGAGGCCAGTATATTGTCTATGCATTACATTGCATATCTTTCAATGCCCTGAAAGGTCTTACCATTGTTCTGTTTGGTTTGCATGCTATTACCCCAGCATTATCAGATTGCTACTGCCTTCTGTACAGGAAGTCGCACACAGGAGCAATCTGTCAGAGTGTCATTGAGGATCAATTCTAAATGGTACCCAGCAGGATGCTGTTGTATCTCAGTGGGTGCACTGCATTCTACGCTTTGATTATATTGGACGCTGGAATTAAGCCCCTCAGGCTTTTGCATGTACAGCAGGTACACTGTGCTGTACCATACTGTACTACCAATACTGTTAAAAAAAAATTATGGCCTTACAGTTTGATAAATTAGGACATCCTATTTAAAAGCAAAAGGTATTTGTTGGCGTTTCCAAAGATTCCTCCCATGTAATCAGATTATATAGGGGTTATGGGGCAGTATGTCTCTGCTTCTAATTCTGTAACTCGGAGGCGATAATTTAAGCTGCAAGGAGAAGCTGGCTGAACGCTCTTGGAATTTAGCATGTCCTAGCAATTGTGGTTCAGAAATGTCATCCTGGACAAGTTCTAGGGCCATGCAAGACGACGCTTTGGCAGACTTAGAGGTAACAGGGTAAATACTCTTGATTTTTGACTATAGCCCTGGTCATGGTCACATTCAGATTGCACAATGCATGTATGAGGGAGAAGAAATGTGACTAGCTAGAAGTGACTTCAAGAGTGTATGCGGAAGTGGAACTAACTTACACCCAGATGGAATGACTGGAAAAAAATTAGGATTTTATGCTTGGTTCTCTATTGAAAGACTTGCTGCTACATAGTGTAGTGTTGGGTGTGTTTAATTGACAGTAATAGCCATTCTTGCATAGAGTTACGTGGCAAGTAGACTTAGGCGGCAAAACTTTGGGCTGCACCACTTCAGATTGCAAAGTGGGAGTGAAATATTTGAATAGTCCTCCATGTAATATTTTTCTTGCATATCAATGGTAAAGCTTTAGAATAGACTTCTCCCTGGCGTGTGGTTTTACGATATGCAGATAAATTTTTTACGTGGGGGCAGGCATTAAAAATATGGCATTCCACCTGCTGTCTAGAGTGGTATGGCCCACAAATCTCATTTGCACAATGTGTAGAACGGTGACAAGTCGGCCACACCGGGCAAAAAGATTCCTGCATTCCAGGGGGTTGGACTAGATGACCCTCGTGGACCCTTCCAACTCTACAATTCTATGATTCTAAGCCCCACTTAAGTTAAATGGGACTTTTCTGTCTAGGATGAATGCATAGGATTACAACCTTCTTGCCCATTTTATCTCATGGGTTCAGGATGGACTGCTGCAACTTACAGTGGTGCCCCGCAAGACGAACGCCTCGCAAGACGGAAAACCCGCTAGACGAAAGGGTTTTCCGTTTTGGAGGCGCTTCGCAAAACGAATTTCCCTATGGGCTTGCTTCGCAAGACGAAAGCCCATAGGGAAATCTCCGGGGACCTCTTTTAAATGCTAGCGGTGGGGAGCAAGCCTTCCCCCTCCGGCCTTCAGAAGAGGTCCAGGAAGGCTGGCGGGGCCGAAAGGCTTTGCTCCCCACCGCCAGCATTTTAAAAGCAGTCCGGGATAGCAGGGAAGCGCTTCCCGCTATCCCGGACGGCTTTTGAAGGCAGGAGAGGTCCGCGGAGCCTGGGCGCGCTGATCGCAGCGCGCGCAGGCTTCGGCATGCCGGCCACTCTCCGCAAGCAGCGGCAGCGCTGCCGCTGCGCGCGGAGAGGTCCGCGAAGCCTGGGCGCGCTGATCTCAGCGCGCGCAGGCTTCGGCATGCCGGCAACTCTCCGCGAGCAGCGGCAGCGCTGCCGCTGCTCGCGGAGAGGTCCGCGAAGCCTGGGCGCGCTGATCTCAGCGCGCGCAGGCTTCGGCATGCCGGCAACTCTCCGCGAGCAGCGGCAGCGCTGCCGCTGCTCGCGGAGAGGTCCGCGAAGCCTGGGCGCGCTGATCTCAGCGCGCGCAGGCTTCGGCATGCCGGCAACTCTCCGCGAGCAGCGGCAGCGCTGCCGCTGCTCGCGGAGAGGTCCGCGAGCCTGGGCGCGCTGATCTCAGCGCGCGCAGGCTTCGGCATGCCGGCAACTCTCCGCGAGCAGCGGCAGCGCTGCCGCTGCTCGCGGAGAGGTCCGCGAGCCTGGGCGCGCTGATCTCAGCGCGCGCAGGCTTCGGCATGCCGGCAACTCTCCGCGAGCAGCGGCAGCGCTGCCGCTGCTCGCGGAGAGGTCCGCGGAGCCTGGGCGCGCTGATCTCAGCGCGCGCAGGCTCGGCATGTCGGCAACTCTCCGTGAGCAGCGGCAGCGCTGCCGCTGCTCGCGGAGAGGTCCGCGAGCCTGGGCGCGCTGATCTCAGCGCGCGCAGGCTTCGGCATGCCGGCAACTCTCCGCAAGCAGCGGCAGCGCTGCCGCTGCTCGCGGAGAGGTCCGCGGAGCCTGGGCGCGCTGATCTCAGCGCGCGCAGGCTTCGGCATGCCGGCAACTCTCCGCAAGCAGCGGCAGTGCTGCCGCTGCTTGCGGAGAGGTCCGCGAAGCCTTGGCTGGACAGCTTTTGAAGGCAGGTGGGGGGACAAGACTTTCGCCCCCGCCAACCTTCAGAAGAGGTCCAGGACCTCTTCTGAAGGCTGGCGGGGGCAAAAGTCTTTGTCCCCCTGCCTGCCTTCCCAGGGGCTTTAAATTGCCCGGACAGCGGAGAAGTCCTCCGCTGTCCCGGGGCAATTTTAAAATGCCACCCGCCAGCATTTTAAGATCGCCCGGACAGCGGAGAAGCCCTCCGCTGTCCCGGGGTTTTTTAAAATGCTGGGGTGGGTGGGAAGAAAAGCCCTTGTCCCCCCCAGCCTTTCAGAAGAGGTCGGGGGACAGACTGTCCCCGGACCTGGTCTGAAGTCGGTTTCCCTAGGAACGCATTAATTGATTTTCAATGCATTCCTATGGGAAACCGTGCATCGCAAGACGAAAAACTCGCAAGAAGAAGAAAAAAACTTGCGGAACGAATTAATTTCGTCTTGCGAGGCACCACTGTATCCTTATCTCATTTTATTTCATTTTACGGAGACTGCAAACGTTTGGATAATCTATCAGGTGGTCACACCATAACAATTTAAAGACTTAATGCATGCTATTAAGAAGGAATGAGTGTCCCAGTGACAGCAGCAAGGACACCAAAGACATATAGTGAACTCTAGAATGACTTGTTGGGATGCAAGGACACTTGTTAGTAAACATGTTGTGCACAAGAACTTACTATCATACAATGGATAATGTATGCAGTCTATATTTTCATACCTTAACTATTCCTTTTTAAAAATTGTTGTTTGATTTGCTTGGGTAAAACGTGTGTGTGTGTGTTTTGTGCAGTTGTTCCCAGTAGATTCATTGATTTTTATAAACCTTTTTCTTGTATAATATGTATTTTTGTGTATTTGCACTACAAATGTATATTTGTACCAATCTAGTTGTTTTATTTTCTTCCAAAAGATCCTAGTAACAGTAGATTGATGAGTGCTATATGTTATGTACTGAAGTTCTCACCCTGGGCCAGCAGGGGATACTGTAGATAGTTATGCAAATGAAGGATCGAAAGTGACGTTCAGTGATTGGATAGTTTGTATGCAAATGAAGGATCGAAAGTGACGTTCAGTGATTGGCTAGTTACAGAAAATGGTTACTGTTGCATTCTAGTGGAGCTCTATATAAGCAGGCTGACTGAGCTCCTCAGTTCAGTTCTGTTCCAGCTTACAAATAAAGAGCTGCTTTGGAAGAATCGCTGTGTCGTCTGATATGTTCGTCCACAACTTAACACTATATATCATCTGTAGGGGAGAGACCAGTTGTTTCCCTCACAGAACTTCAGTTACTAGCACCCCCTGAGGAGAGGGAATGGCTTTTAAGCATCTTCAGGTCTGTAGTCAGTGCTGGATTTACATATAAGCTAGACAAGTTACAGCTTAGGGCCCCACTCTCTTGGCCCCCCCCCAAAAAAAATATTAAAGAAAAAAAACCCTGGATGTACATTTCCAAAATATAAGATTAAAAAACAAATAAAATAGAACCTACATACAGCAACAGTGTTTTATGTTGTGTATGGACCTATTAGGTCCATAAATTACCATATACAGTGGTACCTCAGGTTACATACGCTTCAGGTTACAGACTCCGCTAACCCAGAAATAGTACCTCAGGTTAAGAACTTTGCTTCAGGATGAGAACAGAAATCGTGCTCAGGCAGCATGGCAGCAGCGGGAGGCCCCGTAAGCTAAAGTGGAGAGGTCCGCGAAGCCTGGGCGCGCTGAGATCAGCGCGCCCAGGCTTCGGCATGCCGGCAACTCTCCGCGAGCAGCGGCAGCGCTGCCGCTGCTCGCGGAGAGGTCCGCGAAGCCTGGGCGCGCTGATCTCAGCGCGCGCAGGCTTCGGCATGTCGGCAACTCTCCGTGAGCAGCGGCAGCGCTGCCGCTGCTCGCGGAGAGGTCCGCGAGCCTGGGCGCGCTGATCTCAGCGCGCGCAGGCTTCGGCATGCCGGCAACTCTCCGCAAGCAGCGGCAGTGCTGCCGCTGCTTGCGGAGAGGTCCGCGAAGCCTTGGCTGGACAGCTTTTGAAGGCAGGTGGGGGGACAAAGACTTTCGCCCCCGCCAACCTTCAGAAGAGGTCCAGGACCTCTTCTGAAGGCTGGCGGGGGCAAAAGTCTTTGTCCCCCTGCCTGCCTTCCCAGGGGCTTTAGATTGCCCCGGACAGCGGAGAAGTCCTCCGCTGTCCCGGGGCAATTTTAAATGCCGCCCGCCAGCATTTTAAGATCGCCCGGACAGCGGAGAAGCCCTCCGCTGTCCCGGGGTTTTAAAATGCTGGGGTGGGTGGGAAGAAAAGCCCTTGTCCCCCCCCCCAGCCTTCAGAAGAGGTCGGGGGACAGACTGTCCCCGGACCTGGTCTGAAGTCGGTTTCCCTAGGAACGCATTAATTGATTTTCAATGCATTCCTATGGGAAACCGTGCATCGCAAGACGAAAAACTCGCAAGAAGAAAAAACTTGCGGAACGAATTAATTTCGTCTTGCGAGGCACCACTGTATCCTTATCTCATTTTATTTCATTTTACGGAGACTGCAAACGTTTGGATAATCTATCAGGTGGTCACACCATAACAATTTAAAGACTTAATGCATGCTATTAAGAAGGAATGAGTGTCCCAGTGACAGCAGCAAGGACACCAAAGACATATAGTGAACTCTAGAATGACTTGTTGGGATGCAAGGACACTTGTTAGTAAACATGTTGTGCACAAGAACTTACTATCATACAATGGATAATGTATGCAGTCTATATTTTCATACCTTAACTATTCCTTTTTAAAAATTGTTGTTTGATTTGCTTGGGTAAAACGTGTGTGTGTGTGTTTTGTGCAGTTGTTCCCAGTAGATTCATTGATTTTTATAAACCTTTTTCTTGTATAATATGTATTTTTGTGTATTTGCACTACAAATGTATATTTGTACCAATCTAGTTGTTTTATTTTCTTCCAAAAGATCCTAGTAACAGTAGATTGATGAGTGCTATATGTTATGTACTGAAGTTCTCACCCTGGGCCAGCAGGGGGATACTGTAGATAGTTATGCAAATGAAGGATCGAAAGTGACGTTCAGTGATTGGATAGTTTGTATGCAAATGAAGGATCGAAAGTGACGTTCAGTGATTGGCTAGTTACAGAAAATGGTTACTGTTGCATTCTAGTGGAGCTCTATATAAGCAGGCTGACTGAGCTCCTCAGTTCAGTTCTGTTCCAGCTTACAAATAAAGAGCTGCTTTGGAAGAATCGCTGTGTCGTCTGATATGTTCGTCCACAACTTAACACTATATATCATCTGTAGGGGAGAGACCAGTTGTTTCCCTCACAGAACTTCAGTTACTAGCACCCCCTGAGGAGAGGGAATGGCTTTTAAGCATCTTCAGGTCTGTAGTCAGTGCTGGATTTACGTATAAGCTAAACAAGTTACAGCTTAGGGCCCCACTCTCTTGCCCCCCCCCACAAAAAAAATTAAAGAAAAAAACCCCTGGATGTACATTTCCAAAATATAAGATTAAAAAACAAATAAAATAGAACCTACATACAGCAACAGTGTTTTATGTTGTGTATGGACCTATTAGGTCCATAAATTACCATATACAGTGGTACCTCAGGTTACATACGCTTCAGGTTACAGACTCCGCTAACCCAGAAATAGTACCTCAGGTTAAGAACTTTGCTTCAGGATGAGAACAGAAATCGTGCTCAGGCAGCATGGCAGCAGCGGGAGGCCCCGTAAGCTAAAGTGGTGCTTCAGGTTAAGAACGGACCTCCAGAACGAATTAAGTACATAACTAGAGGTACCACTGTAGCATATATTCCACACAAAAAGAAGTGACAATTTGCTGTTGACAAAGGACAGCTGGACATATAAAGGGCCCCATTACCTTCAGTAGCTTAAGGCCTCATCAAACCTAAATCTGGCCCTGTCTGTAGCGCAGGTATGTCTCCAGGGGTCAGCAAACTTTTTCAGCAGGGAGCCGGTCCACTGTCCCTCAGACCTTGTGGGGGGCCAGACTATATTTTGAAGGGGGGGAACAAATTCCTATGACCCACAAATAACCCAGAGATGCATTTTAAATGAAAGGACACATTCTACTCATGTAAAAACACGCTGATTCCCGGACCGTCTGCAGGCCGGATTTAGAAGGTGATTGGGCTGGATCTGGCCCCTGGGCCTTAGTTTGCCTACCCATGGGTTAGGCCAACCACAAGCTTCAGGATCATTGCCTATGGACAAATGCATACTTGGGAAGAGAGATTTCACACAGATACTCTTGTTTACAGGCATGAGCGAATACACACTCGAAGACCATATCGTGTTGATGCGTCTGACAAATACTCTCCAGATGATGATCTGGTAAACCTTGAAGTCCTGGATGAGGTAAGGTATGACAAGTTAATGAATTCTCAGTACTCGGTCTTACCGCTTGCTCTTGCCTTCCAGGCATTATTCATATTTCTAACAATATCGCCATGTCACCAAGTTAATTGTTCATAGTCC